ATGCTAGTACCACGTTGTCCTGATTACAGGAGCTGACTAGAACTTTGAAAGCAAGAATTGTCAGTCCTCCAACTTTATTCTTTTTAAATATTGGTTTGGCTATTCTGGATCCCTTGCATTTGCATATGAATTTGAGAATCACCTTGTCATTTTTGGCCAAGAGAAAAAAAAGCTGGAATTTTAGTAAGAATTTCTTTTAATCTGTAAATCAATTTTTAGGTATACCCACCTTAACAATGTTAAGTCTTCTGATCCATGAACATGTAGTGTCATTCCATTTATTTATATTTTCTTTAATATCTTTCAACAAGGTTTCTGTAGTCGTTGGTGTAGATATCTTGTACATATTTTATTAAATTTATTCCTGTTTTATTCTTTTTGATATTAAGTCAAATGGTTTTCTTAATTTCATTTGGAAATGTTTAACCCTAATGAATACAAATACAGTTAATTTTTGTATATTGATCTCATATCTTGCAACCAGCTGAACCTATTCTATCAGATTTTAGTGGCTTCCCTAGTATTTTTCTATATATAAAGTCTTGAAATCTGCAGATAGAGATAATTTTACTTCTTCCTTTCCAATTTGGATGCCTTTTGAAAATCTTTTTCTTGCCTAATTGACAGAGAGAGAACTTTTAGTACAGTGTTGAATAGAAATGGCAAGAGCATTTCCTGAACATCCTTTTCTTCTTCCTGATCTTAAAGGGAAACCATTAAATATTTTACCATTAAGTTTGATGTTAGCTGTGGGGTTTTTATAAATGCTCTTTATCAGGCTCAGGAAGTTTCCTTTTATTCCTAGTTTGTTAAGTATTTTCATCATGGGATAGTATTAATTTTGCCAAATGCTTTCTCTGTATCTATTGAAATGAAAAAGCGTTTTGTCCTTTTTCGGATAAATTACACTGGTTGATTTTTATATGTTGAACCAACCTTGAATTCCTAGAGTAAATTATCTTTGACCATGGTGTATAATCTCTTTTTATGTTGTTGAAATAGGTTGCTAGTATTTCATTGAGGGGTCTTGTGTGCATATTCATATATGATATAGCGTATTTTCTAAAAGTGACAATTTTGAAATAACCTTAATGTCCTAAATGACAATTTTTAAATAATCTAAATCAGTAGGGGAGTGGTTGCATAAGCTACATTGCAATTTAAATGAAAAATAAGGAGAGCTATACATACATGGATAGAAGACATAGCCTGCTTTTCTTTTAAAAATGTGCTGTAATACAATACTCATAATGCTTTTCCTAACACTTATATAAAATATAGACAAATAAAACATATACTGTGTGACATTTTCATATTTATATTTGTGTAGACATTGGTATAAGCAATAAAATATCTGAATGAATATACATCAGACTGATAGTGGCAGTTCCCACAGGGGATCAGAGTGGGATTTACCTGTATTAAAATTTTTATAATGGGGAAATATACATGTATATTTCTTTAAATTTAATATACATAAATGTTTACAAACATAAAAATTAACTCACTGATACATATAAACCCATGTCTTAACAAATATTACTGTAAACTAAAGGAAACTTCTGTTAGCCCACAACACAGTCCTACTATTACCACACAAACATAGAAGCAGTTGGTATGATTAAAACTGTGTCAGCTAAAAATTGGTAATAAATTTAGAAAGAGATTTAGTATAGGATCAGCACAGATATACTGCAGTGGGAAAAGGAGGAAAGGGATAAGAAGAAATGACCAGTATAAAGAAAAAAAAAACTCACCAGCAAAATATTACCAAGGAGAAGCTGAAAGTTATCATCAAACATTATTGCTGTAGATTCCAAAAACCGATTAAGTAATATAAAGCCTCAGTGGAAGAAGAACTCATTGGTAAGACATGAGAGCTCAAGGAACAATGAGTGAAGCAACAGGGGGAAATGAAATGAGACTCAGCTGAGGAAAAGGGCAGAGGAAGAAAACGAGTCCATTATAGAGAGCACATCTGCATGGATTCAAAGGAAAGGGACACTGCTGAGAGCGCAGTGAGAAGCATGGACAGGACTGGGAAAAATGAGCAAAGAGAAATGGAAATAAAGAGTCAGAAGGGTAAGAAACTGAATGAGCATTCTGGAAGGAAAAGGGGGTCAAACATAAATAATTTGGTGTCCCTGAAGAAAGAACACTAACAAATTGATAATATATATATATATATATAATCAATGGCAAAAGGAAATATTCTCCAGAGATCTTCACAACCCAGGAATGGAACCTGCATCTCCTGAATTTCAGGCAGACTGTTGACCCCTGAGGCACCTGGGACATCCCATGGACAAAGGAGCCAGGCGGGCTGTAGTCCACAGGATCACAAAAGAGCTGGACACGGCTTAGCAACTTAACAACAACATATATATGTGTATATATAGTATATTTTACTATATTACAATTCAGAAGCTATAATTTTCTTTGAGTCCATCTCAGAACAAACTTGAGGCAAGCAAGAATTTATTGGAAAAATTGAAAAAAAGGACACATAGTGAACATTAAATTAGTTTTTAGGACTAAAACAACTGCAGAATTATCTTAGAGTACAAAAGGTAAATGTAAATTAACAGTGTAGAAGTGATTCAGTAAGTATTGAAGAGCAGTGTAAGAGAGTGAAGGGCAGTGTATTAGGCTGATTTCCTCATCTTTTAATATCCAGAGATTAAAATAGTTTACAGCTGATAAGTCGTGTATTAGAAGTGTAAATACAATTAAAGGTTTACAGGAAAACATCAGAATAAAGAAGAGATAACAATGAACTAAAATGGATGGATGAGGGAAACCAGAGCTAAGATACTGCCCCACACACCATGTTAGCGTGACTGCCATTAAACTGCTCTGAGGTCTTTGTATTGTTTGGCAGAAAAACAGTAGGATGATCTCACTAGATGCAAAAAAGCACTTGATTAACTTCAATACCTCTTCATAACAAAAGCTCTTAACAAACTAGGGGAAAAGAGGACTTCCCTAACCTGACAAATGATGCCTATCACATTCGCACTGCTGACATCATTTTCAGTGGGAAAACTCCCTTCCTCCAACTTCATGAATAAAACAAGGATGTCACTATCTCATGTGGCCTACAATGTGGTTTTGTAAGTTCCAACCAGAATGGTGAAAGGAGAAGAAATCCAGGGGATAAAGATCAGAAAGGAAGAAACAAAACTGTCATTTGGGCACATTTCAGTTAGCAACATAGAAACCCAGCTAAAATACACAAATTATTATAAATGATAATTGTTAGAAAGACAGCCAACTATAGGATATATTGAGTTGGTCAAAAAGTTCATTTGCATTTTTATAGGAGTCTTTGACCAATCTAATATCTTATAGTATCAATATACTTTCTACTGTATCCTTTTATAACTTTAAAATTTTGCCCTTTGGGTGCACATTGCCAAACAAAACTCTTAATTATTTTAAAGTTGTCCCTGATCTTTTAAAACTATATACAGTATTCTGTTGGCATAAAATGATGTGCATATGTTTATATGCATTTAAAGTTGCTGAAAAGGCTGGTCACCAAAAATAAGGGTAATTTTCAATGTAGTATAGTTTGTTTTTAGTTTTTCCCCTTTTGTTGGTTTGAATTACCATATACTTCATTTATAATGAAAATTGAGCCATGTTTACTATGAGAAAATAAGGAAATAAACTCCTCAAAATAGGTATTTCCATAATCTCTACATACTTGGGCCCAGAAATTTCTCATTTTTAAAACTCCATGGCTGATTCTGATGATCACATTTGGGAACCACAGGGGTAGGTAGGATTTATCATCTAATTTGGGATCATCATCTAAATTGCTGAAGCAAATGTATATTACCTTTGTCTAAAACCCGAATGTAAACCAAAACCAAGTGATTACCAGCCTACATTTCAGAATCTCACTACTATGTTGGGCTCATTAATTGACGCAGTTGCCCAGTTAACCAGGCTTTAGCCAGCCCCTGACTTCCTCCCTGGCAGCCTCAGTCATTTCCTTCCAGAACTTCACTAACCACCTGCTATGTTGGGCATGTGTGGGGTCAGAGCATGGGCAGAAGGCCCTGGCCTCTGAGGGACCCCATTATACTTGGAAATACTCAGGGAAGTGGACAAAAGTACACAGTGCAGTGGCTGCAGCAAAGTCCAAAGGGCAGTGAAAGCAGGAAATGATACCCGGTGATAAGGTGGTGGTTTTGCCATAGGGCAAGTAGCCCAGCTTCTGCCGTCATCCCATAGAACCAGGGACAAAGTACAGCAAAGATGGAAGGAACCCAGTAGATGATGTGGCCGGGGACTTTTAGCACCCGTGCTCCAGGGTGGTGCTCTTCACACAGAACTCCAGGCTCCTGGTTTACTGGGGCTGCTGCAGGCAAGCACCGTCCACAGGGAGGCATAAACAGGAGACACACACTGTCTCAGTTTGGGGGCTAGCAGTCTGAGATCAATTGTCGGCAGTGTTGGTTTCTCACAAAGGTGAGAAAGGATCTGTCTCATGCCTCTCTCTTGCTTCTGGTGTTTTGCTGGCAGTCTTCGGCTTTTAAGAGCCATCATCTTGATCTCCGCTTCATGATTACACAGAATTCTCCCTGTGTACATGTATGTGTCCAGTCTTCCTCTTGTTATAATTGCACCAGTCATATAGGACTGGGGGCCCACCTTGCTCCAGTGTGACCTCGTCTTAACTAATTACATCTGCAACAGCCCTGTTTTCAAACAAGGTCACATTCTGAGGTCCTGGGGACTTCATCATATGGATTTGGGGGTGTGAGGGACCTAGTTCAACTCATAACACATGCAAATGGTGCTCTCTGGAATTTGGGCAGCCAGGATATTCTGGCCATAGAAGAACGCTTCTAATTAGTTGGCTAGCTTGATTTCTCAGCGCTCTGAAGTCACCATGGGGGCGGAGCAGTGGGTTTTGGTGGGGAGTGCTATGAGCCTCTAATGGTGGGTGGAGGTGTGTTGGTTCACCTGTGTGTTATCTGTCACTACAGGTTATATTGAAGCTGCCATCATCCCAGCTGGAGCTCGAAGGATCCGTGTGGTGGAGGATAAACCTGCCCACAGTTTTCTGGGTAAAACAAAAATGATTTGACTCATAGTGTGTGTTCTGAACATTAATTTGGACAATCAAGCTGCTCATTTGGTTCAGCAAAATGCTGACACGGTGCTCTCAGGCCATTGATTTTAACTCATATTTTAGGTGTAGTGAGTAATCAGCATGTACCAAGCAGTTCTGTTGTATTTGGTTAAGTGCATCCACCTTGGCAACCCCAAGGCGGATGAGGGGATGGGTGAACAGGAGCCACCAGCCTTGGACAGGAAGGCAGGTGACGGAAGAGTGAATGAAGGAAGTTGTGAGAAGTTGGGGTAGCCTAAGTCCCCCAAAGTAAGCCCAGGAGAGCTCAGACAGCCAGAGCCTGAGCAGTGAGGGTGCACACCCCAACTTGTGGGAGCTCCTGTAGGCTGTCGATGGCTCTAGGGGTGACTCCTTATCTGGAAAAAGAATAACTGCTCTGAATCTAATGAAAACCCAAAAGAACACTGGTTTCACTAAGTGTGAAACCAAATTCCGTGTGCCCCAAATTCCCAGTGCCAAGTCCATGGATGTCAGACATGACTGCTCATCTTTCTGTAGAAGGATTAAGTTGCATTCCACACTGGTCTTCATTGCCTTTGACAGAGCTGACAGAAATGTGCTTAAAGCCCAAGGATTGTTCCGTTTAGCCCCTTCTTAGCCTCCGAAGATCCTCTGCATGTGTCCTAAACTCAAGTCTCAGGCTCTCCATGAGTCCCCGAAAGTTCCAGCTTGTGCTCAAGTACCAGGGTGGTCCTAGTGCTGAGCTGACACACAGCTGTTCTGAATGCCACCACGCGCAGGGCCTGCCTCTGCCCTGAGTTCACTGGGATGGGCCATGCTGTGCCCCAGTCCCCCCAGCCCTGCTCCTGCGTTCCTGTCTTGGGCTGGATTTCACACTGGAGGTGGCTCACCTCCTACCCAGGCACCCTTCTCAAGCATCTTCATGTTGTGTCTCCCCATCTGTGTGGCAGGGTGCTATTTGAGATTTTTTTACTTAAGATGTGATCTTTTTCTGACTTCAAACTTAAGAATTAAGCTATTTTGGCTGAATTGAAGTTTACTCATGAAATGCTTTTATTTCAACCTTTATCCTGATTTTTAAAAACATGGCTTTGTCCACATTCCTTTCTTTGTAGATATAAAAGTATCTAAGTCTTTCTTTGAAATGGTCTCCACTTGAAAAACCCAAAGTCTGATGAGACGGACATGGACCAAACCTCTAGCAGGCAGGTGCAGGCGAAGACCACCATCCTATAGAGGAGTTGCGAACCACTGACAGACACGGAGATAGCCCTCTCACTCCTGACGCAGTGTGGGCGCAGGAGCTCCTGTTTCTGAGTGCCTACACCAGGCTCTGGGCAAGCAGCCCCCGAGGGTCCCTACTAGGTCCCAGACAGCCCTGCCCCTCCCAACTCCCTCACCTGCCGCCATCCACCCGCATCCTGGAAGCCATAATGGGCATTGCTCTTCCTGCTGCCAGCCTGGGCCTGCTCTCCCTCAGGTTGGCATCCACGTGGGTCTTCATCAGCCCTGTGGTTTTTCCCGTGCTGCTCCGGTCCAGCCTGGCACTCTTCTCTGCAGCCATCCCAGCTGTTGGTTTATAAACAGTGATGCCTGTAAGTGCTTCCAAAACAGGGCCTACACTACTCTCAGCAGCTTTTTCAAAGTGACGGCCTTTTTACTAAATTCTCGAAGAATACCAGCCCCTTCTTTCTGCCCATCTAGAGAAATTTGGTCAACTTTATCAGCATTTGTCTTGGGGCCCCATCACCCAGTGTCATGCCAAAAGTTAGCCTTGCCAACTGGTCCATTGGCCCTCCCCTACCTGGAGATAATTCTGCTCCCCAGAAGCACTGGGCCTCTGTGGGAATCTGACATCACCTTTAACCTTTATCTTATTCAAAACTCATGATCCCAGTTTCTCAGGTGCTGGCACAATTCCAAGGTCAGTTTCCTGGCCCTTCCATAAAGCACCAGTATGTGCCCTGCAAGTAAGCTCCTCAGCTTCCTGTCCTGCCCTTAAGACTTCCCAGCACCATTCCTCCAGCCCCAGGGATCTGGTAAAAGCAGGAACATGATCCTTATGTCTGCTTTTCTGTGTGATACAAGACTAGACAGAAGTGTGTCAGAATCCTTCAGATCCCTCGGCATCTGATTCCTGTAGTGAAGATGACTTTTCACTGGAACCTGTGTTAGGGCCAACAAGTAACACCTAGTGGATGCCACCGGGGAGCCAGCTCTCGTGGTGGTCCCTCTCTGTCCCTGATGCCTAGGGCCACACCTTCCAATAACAACACTGGCACTGACATCGTGCATTCCAGTCATTGAGCTCTGTTCTGCTTTGAAGACCTGACCCCTGACCCCCCCAAATATATTAGAGTATCGCTGTGCCTAATTCACTGAGGAGGAAGCCAGGGCTCTGGGAGGTCAGCCGCTCATCCAAGCTCCTCTCCAGCTTGGCCTGCTGCAGTTCACGGAGGTGTCTGTCACAGCCAGAGATCCGGTGGAGGCGATTTTTCACTGGAGAACATGTTAAACCTGCCTGTTGCTACTGCTGTGATGTGTGGATTTCAGAGAAGCACGTGTCCATCTGAGGAGATAGGTTCAATGTCTCCGGATGAATTCTCAGCTCCCTAGAAGCACTGGACTGCCCTGGGAGGTTGGAGCCAGACTTCGCCACCTTATCTTATCTGCAAATCACAGTTCCAGTGTTCTAAGGCCTGGTGTATACACAATGGAAATCTGAAGGTGGTCCATGCTTGATATGTTTCTAAAGTTAGTTCAGACAAGCCTCTTATACACCCAGGGCTGGGTGCTTTGGATATCAACCCTGTGTAACTTTGAATTGCTCTCCCGTTTGAGGGAGCAGTTCCTGAAGAATTCACCCCACCTACCTTCAACCCACGCTGCCTGGCTTTCTGCTCGAAACCACCTGGAACAGGAAATGCCTCTGCAGTTTGCATCCATAGCTGAGAGGGGAGCTGGCAGAACTCCAAGTGGAAATAAAAGGAGCTGCCTCAATGCCAGGATAAGTAGGTTGAATGTGGGTCAAGTCTTCCAGTGGAATCCAGGAGGCAGAGAGACAGAAAGGAGCCCAGCTTCTTCACAGCACTGGGCGAGAAGTGGGCATGCGGACAGGGTCTGACCCCCTCTTTCTGCCTCTAGGCAGTCCAGAGAGGAGCCCAACCATCCCAGCAGGAATGCCCCCTCCCCAGGCCCCGGAAAGGCTCAGGATCTCCCGTGGTGCCCGGAAGTCCAGGGACATCATGTCAATGTCTGCAGAGACAGGAGGGCTGGATGTAAATAGATGGTCCCCACGTGACCTCACACTTGGGGCAGTTTTGAAGAGGTTTGGTTCTGCCGTGGTAGCAGGGGAAAGCATGTACTCATCTTCATCCCCCGAAAGTCTCTTCAGCTATTGAAAGGCTTCTAGTAGCTCCTGAGCAAAACACACAAAAGCAAGTACTGCTGCATTTGGGGTAGGGTTTAAACATCTAACTTCTGACTGAGGCAGGACCAGCAAGTGAAAATCTCCTCTCCAGCGAATCCAAACTTCTGACATTATGGATAGGATCACATTGCTCTGGAATCCCCTTTGTTCCTAACTCCATTATTTCTTTGTCAGAGCAGAGCGTTTGTGGGAGGCCTGGCATGCTGCAGTCCATGGGGTCACAAAGAGTCGGATACCACTGAGCAACAGCATAACAGCCCCTGTTGAGTTTCTCAGCCTAAAGATTCTAATTTCAAATACAAATTCATCTCAAAATGCTTACAGATGAAGGGGGCTTGCAAATACCATTGATGCCAAGGATTGAGAGGAACAGGAATTTCCGGAGCCCAAAACTTATTTAATTTTGGAGAGCTTCTTTAAGGAACAGAATGCATTTTGTATACAGCCTTGGAAAGGGCCCCACGAGGGGCCCTGGAGCTTCAACTCCCCTGGCTCACGCAAACCCTGCTCTGGGAAGCTCGCTCTAGGGGACTGCTGCAGACGGGCCAGGAGCAACCCGCACGCCTGCCCTCTCTGGGGCTGACATGGCCTCATCGGACTCCACACTGAACCTGTCCACTGTCAGTGATATTCAGATTTAAAACCCTGCTCTGGGAAGCTCGCTGTAGGGGACTGCTGCAGACAGGCCAGGAGCAACCCGCACGCCTGCCCTCTCTGGGGCTGACATGGCCTCATCGGACTCCACACTGAACCTGTCCACTGTCAGTGATATTCAGATTTCGACATTCCAGCAGACTTTCTGAGGCTGCAGTCTTACTCTTCTGAAAGGATGTCAGGTGCTAACACCCAGTTTTAGCAGGAAGTTCAGAATTCCGGCATGGACCATAGCAGCCTGCATATTTTGGATCCAGCTGCCTAAATGACTCACCCCAGAGTCAGTGGGCTTGCAGCAATCCCCATGATTCTTGGAATTGCTGGCCTCCTCCTTATAATTCTGCTTCTGAGTTTTCCTCCCGTGCAAAATGCATGAAGGCTTGTCATCACCAGCCCACTGTCCCAAGGAAGGGTTGCCGTGTTCAGATGAGGGGGTCAAGAGGCAGTGGTAAAACTGGCTGCATTTCTGGAAGCTTCCGGCTGCTGTGCAGATGGCCACAGCAGAGCTTGGACAGGCAGATTTCTTCTTTCTGGGGCCATGAGAGCCCCCCCATACACACCCCCCTTGAAGCTGTGACAGTGAGATTTTGCCGACTCAGCAGGCCAGGACCTCCAAAGCCCAGACAGGCGCCTTCAGAAGTTGTGAGAGTGCCCAGCAGCAGGGTGTGGATGGGAAGGCTGATGGTTTGCGTCTCTTCCCAGCTCTGCATTCACAGAGCTCACATGGCTAACTGAAATCTGCCATGGGGGCGCCTTTACAGCTTGAGTAGTGACAAGCAGTGGAAGTCTAGGCTGCTTTCCCCAGAGAGCCTGTCCCCAGCACTGTGCCGTCAGGCGTGTTCCTCCCCCTCCCACTCCTGGCCTTTCTGGAATCCCGGGAGAGCCACTGCCTGCCGCTCTGCTTGCCCTCTGCCTTCCCTGGCCGCTTTCACCCCCTATGACCTCCCCCTCCCAGCCTGTGGACCGACTACAGAAACGTCTCCTCCCCTCACCCCTACCGCCCCGCAGGATCCTGCCCTCATGGTGAGAGGGTGGTGCGTGCACAGCACCCACAGGCTCTGTCTGTTCCTCGTGGGACCCATGGCGGGCGCCTCTGCCCACAGAAATGGGGCTTCCCCCGGCAGTGCCCACACCTCTGCAGCGTTTCTGTGGATGGGTTATAATTGGCTCCAGCTGTGCCCTCCTGCACTTTTTCTAGTTTTCCCACTCTTGACCTCCCCGATGCTTTCCTTTTGGCACGAGGGTGGCGTGGTTTTCAGTTCATAATCCAGTAAGTCCTGTTAAAGCACCATGGAAACAAGGCCAAGTAAGACAGAGCCACCTCACCCTGAACAAGTGCCGGATAGGGCAGGGTCCTGAAGAGAGTTTAAGGCCTGGATGGAGTGTGCCTTCCTGAGTCTCAGAGGGTACTAAGCTGACATCAGTAAGGATCCTAGTATGACTTCTAGAAGTCCATACTAGTCACTTTCTTTCTCAACCTGCCCTGCTTCTATCATGGTTAATGTTTTTAAAACACCAACCTCCGCTTTTCCGCCCACTCCCCCCTCCCCCCGAGCGCCGCTCCGGCCGCACTGCGCTCGCTCTGAGCTCTGGGCTCCTGCTAAGCCAGCGCCGCTGTCACCTCCCTCCAGTCGCCATCATGATGATCTACTGGTACCTCATTAGCCATGACGAGAAGTTCTCCGACATCTACAAGATCCAGGAGGTCGCGGATGGGCTGTGTCTGGAGGTGGAGGGGAAGATGGTCAGTAGGACAGAGGGTAACATTGATGACTCGCTCATTGGTGGAAATGCCTCCGCTGAAGGCCCCGAGGGTGAAGGTACAGAAAGCACAGTAATCACTGGTGTCGATATTGTCATGAACTATGACTTGCAGGAAACCAGCTTCACAAAAGAAGCCTACAAGTAGTACATCAAAGATTACATGAAGTCAATCAAAGGGAAACTTGAAAAACAGAGACCAGAAAGAGTAAAACCTTTTATGACAGGGGCTGCAGAACAAATCAAGCACATCCTTGCTAATTTCAAAAACTGTCAGTTCTTTATTGGTGAAAACATGAATCCAGATGGCATGGTTGCTCTGCTGGACTACCGTGAGGATGGTGTAACCCCGTATATGATTTTCTTTAAGGATGGTTTAGAGATGGAAAAATGTGTAAGTATAAAGAAGTGGGTTGAAATCAGTCATGTAAAAATGGAGGTATTACAACCTTTAGCAAATAAACCACTTAATGATAAAAAAAAAACACCAACCTCCAAATGTGACATGTGGAAGCTAAACCCAGTTCTCAGTTTCTGAGTACTGATTTCAGGTACTGCTGGATCCAGGGGCTTAAAATGATGGGAAATGATGTCTGTATCCCGGCACTGCTGTCCTGCCTCAGTGGACTGTAATCTGAGGGCCTCTTGCCACGTACGGGGAGACTCAGACTTAGATCAAGTCTCTGGGCAACTTTGGGAAAGAGAGCTGTTGCTTCCCAGGGTGAATGCAAGTGTTAGAATCGACTCTTCCTGTCCAGAGTTGGGTAGTGGACCCGCTCCTGGAGGTGAGGAGTTTAGGATTAGCCCCTCATGACTGGGGAAGAACACATCCCCAGAAGCTCCTCCGGGGGGGTGTTACTTGCAAAAGGAGAGAAAGCGATGAGGGAGCAACACACGAGATGTTCACAGAAGCCCTAAAGTGGAGCATGGCCAGGCCCGGCCGGGGGCGTTGAGTACAGGAGCCGACTGGGGTGCGAGCGCAGACTGAGACGGGAGGGGCGGGCCGCCCCGTGTGCCTGGTCTCTGCGAGGGAAAGGGGCTCTGGGGAGGTCCCAGAGTGACGGTGGTCAGCACCCAGCTTCACAGAAACTCACTCTGCTCACCTCGCTGATTCCAAGTCACAGAGATTCTCAACCTGCTCAAGCGTCCCCAGCCCAGTGACAATGACAGTAAGCCTCCCCTCTCCTCCACTTCTGCGGCCTCTCTCTGCCACCTCCTCTTGCTCCTCCGCATGGGCAGGGTGCCTCCCTCCCCACCCCCCCGACTCTGCACAGAAACTGAGCTTATCAGGGAGCAAATCCAAGCTGCCAGGCACTCTGGCCGCCTCTGCTCCCTGCCTTTCCTGCCATCTCAGCTCTGGGCTCCCCCTCCAGAAGGCCTTCCCCGGCGGGCCCGGTCTCTGCCCACACGCACGCTTGAGCCCTGGACTGGCCTCTGTCTCAGAGCTTCCACAAGTGGCTCATGTTCATCTGTCATCTAGCCCACCTTGCTTTCAGACCCTGAGCTCCTCAGGGTAGGAGCTGTGTCTTCAGCACCAGCTACAAGGCCCTCAGAAAGAGGTAAGAAAACAATTGTCCAAACCTGCAGATGAATTGAAAGAGCAGTGAACACCCATGCACCCTTGGGCCGGAAGTACTTGTAGGTTGGTAGTTCACTGGAAGCTGTGGAAAACCACAAAGTTGGTTGTTTTTATGAGGATATGTAGAACAGGAGGCATCACAGCGATCTGAGGTTGGAATGTGTTCTCTGGGAGAATATGACATTTGCACATTTCAGCGTCTGTCATAAAACTCTAGACTTGTGCTGTAACCTAACGAATGTGGGACCTTGGTCTGTTTCAGTTCAGGTGTCCACGTGACAATAGCTGTGTGACTTCAGGCAGGTTACGGAACCTCCCTGTGCCCCCATTTCCTCATCTGTGAGAAAGAAGACAGTAATCCTTTACCTTAGAGTGCTGTTGGGAAGGTCAAATGGGTAAAAGCATATGGAGAATGTGCCCTTTATATGCGAACTTGCAGGCGGTGGCTAAGAAGAGAAAAATGAGCAGAAATTGTGAGTATCCCAACAGACTCGCTTCCTTCTAGTAGCCAGGAAATCCCAAGAGTGGGTGGAAATCTTTGAAGGGAAACATTGGGTTCTAAGTGGCGGAGCTTTCTGTTTTCAAAGCCGTTCCTGGAGTCCTGTAATCCGCAGCCACGCTCACCGAGTGTGACCCCTCCTGGAAGCTGTCCTACTGGGAGGCGGCCCTACGCAGACCCCTTGGTTTCTCTTGGTGGTTCCTGTAAAGGCGGGGTGCTGAGCCTGCACCTCCCCCTCGGGGCAGGGGATCGCCGGGACCACTGTGTCCTGCAGACCAGGAAGCAGAGGGCAGCACCCCCAGCTGCTTGTGACCTGACCAGGGTCGGACCCATCAGGTCCTAACCCAGCCCAGGGCTCGTGGGCTCAGGCTTAACTGAAACTACTTGTGGGTTTCAACTCTCATTATCCAAAAGTGGTGGGCATTTTGTTTCTGACCTCATAAACAAAGGGTGGGGAACCTGATTTCGCTGATTGTGGACTGTGCAGGGTTCACGGGTGCTGGCAAAGAATGTGGCATTGGACTTGGGGTGCACAGAGAGTTTTGTGTTTTGAGTAACATAAAGACTTGGTATTGACTATTTTTATTTACCACCTTCTCTTACTTGTCAGAGTAGGTTCTATAATCATTGTTTACTTTCCTGAATAACAAAGCAAAACAAACCAAAAAAGCCCAGAATTTCACTGTAGAATGCTCTCTCATGAGAACCACATGACTCTAAAGCCTAAGTGAGGAAAAAACAAAGAAATTACGGGTGAGCAGTCAGATGATAATAAATACATGGCTTGTATGGAAAACCAAATCTTTGCTATGGCCAGCAGCAGAATGTCAGAGAGAGCAAAGTGTGAACCTGGCAAAGGCCATGAAGCTGAGGGTGGGCGCAGCCCTGCCACTCACATGGCATCAGCTGACTAACTGCCACGTCTGTCTGTAAGCAGCTCAGGGTGAGAGACTCCCGTCTTTAGTTCAAGGACACTTGCTTCTTGAAGGAGCATCTACTTCACTAATCTGGGGTTATCAGATCCCTAAGGGACACTAGAGTTAGGCTGCCCTCTAAAAAGCCCCAGGTAGGTAAGAGTGAAATGAATGAATTTTGCTAAAGATGCAAAACCTGTTTTGGAGACTTGGACATGTGGAAATAGAATCCATTCATCCGGCAGAAAATCCCCTACTCTGTAAGTCTAGTGAAATGCGATAGGGCTGTGTGTGGCTGTCTGCATCCTCTGGCACTCCTCCTGACACCCCCTCTGTGTGAGCCGGTTCTGAGACACCAGCCCACGCTCTGAGGCGCAGGAGTCGAGGCAGCTCTCACTCAAGCACCTGGGGTCAGGAGCTGCTCTCTGCCTGTGAGCCAGCCTTCTGTTCTCAGAGAAAGCTCCCTTTCCCTCACGGCAGGCCTCCCTCTTCTGCCCTGTGGAGGCGGAGCATGAGACCTCCAACCCACCCCTCAAGACACGCTGACTCCCTTCAAAGACAGGCTGACTCCCCCAATTCTGTGGTGTTCCATTTTCTTTCTAGCTCTCAAGGACTCCAGTAAGAGATCCATCAACAGTGACTGGAAGATAGAGCTCCCCGGAGAGTTCCAGATTGCAGGCACAACCGTCCGCTATGTTCGAAGGGGCCTGTGGGAGAAAATTTCTGCCAAGGGACCAACCAAAATGCCGCTGCATCTGATGGTATCTGCTGTGCTTTTGTATTTGTCCTGAGTCGGCTGGGTCCTAGAGGTCTACCAGTCGACTTCTTCCCTGGGGCCCTGTGGGAGGAGGTATGCTTGGTTCTTGGTGGTTTGCCTGGCCACCTGCTGCTCAAATCTCTCCCTTGGTCTTTTCCTTGTGTAATCCTTTTCACTACATGCTTCAAAATGCTGCCCTCTCAAAATTTTGCCTTGGCTTTTTACTGGCAGAACTCCCATCTTTTTCAAAAGGAACCGCCTCCAGGATGGAAATGCTTAGTCATGTGGCCGCCGGGGAGACCTGGCATCATTAAGCAGACAGTCCCACTCAAAGTCTGTTTTAGTATCAGGTGGCTTAGATTTGCCCCACAGTTTGTATAATTACATCAGAAATTACCTTTTGAAAACAAACTATTGACTCTGTTTCCAAACCGACACCACTCAGGTTTTCCAGGCTCAGCTTGTAACAAGCCTTCAGGAATTGAGACAGAAACAAATTCTACTGGACTATTTACTCCCCAAATGGTCTCGGGAAATCTGTGGTTGGGCCAGATCAGGGCACTCTGGTCTTACGTGTTGTCTCAGGAAGGACCCCATGAAATATTTGGTTATACTGCCTTTTAAGACTATGAAAGATCTCCAGGGAAAAGAATGCCACCATTGCCTTCTCAGGGTTCAGGAGTTCTCGTGGCTAACTTTTGATAGCTCTTAATTATTGATTCCATGTCTCCTTCCAAAGAATGGGAATTGTGACAGCTTGTGTGTATATAATCAAAGCACAGTTTGTCCTCCATGCCGCCCGAAGTCTCTACTTGGAAGTTCTTATCATCCCCATTAATTTGTGGTTTCTGGCAGCTGGCATCTGTTTAAGATTAGGTGATACCCGAGAGATTCCCATGCCACCTCTCAGTAAGAATCTCCTGAGGAGACCAGCTCTGCAAGTGAGCAGAGATGTCTCCCACAATGGCCCTAAGCCTGTTACAATTTCCAATAAGAGCAAAGGGAGCTAGTTCCCATGGCTGACATAGTGCAAAAATCCACACACTAAAGCTACTGCAGATATACACTTAAAAGTTGATTTGGGGACCTAACAGCCTGTGCACACTTAATGCGCTCAGTTGTGTCTGACTCTTGCGACTCCACGGACTGTGGCCCGCCAAGCTCCTCTGTCCATGGGATTTTCCAGGCAAGAATGCTGGAGTGGATTGCCATTTCCTCCTCCAGAGGATCTTCCTGATCCAGAGGTTGAATCCACATCTGCCAGGTCTCCTGCATGGCGGGCAGATTCTTTACCCGCTGAGCCACTGGGGAAGCCTGTATCCAAGCCATTTCTCTGTGATTAGATTGTTTCCTAATCTAAGTCACTGGAACATGTCCTCCTGTCCTGAGTTAAAAGCAGTCATTCAGAGGGACTAAAAGAGGAAGTGAAAGACAAGCTAGAACCCAAGATAGCAGTATCACCTGTGAGCACATGAAGTTGCTTTTCTAGCAAACACCAAGATGGGTCTATTTCCCTTCTTTCCCCAAAGCTTGCATAAACTGTGAGTGAATTGTCAGCCCATTAAAGCAAATGCACAGCCTGGATTCATTCAGACCATGGTAAACAAAACTCGGGGAATGCAACAACTGCCACAGCTGAAGTTCCTGCCTTCTTGAACATTAATCACTTTTCTCTCTTGAAATATGATTGCTAGTTACTTCCAGTTTTTAAACGTAGAAATGAGCCCGTCTTCCTCTGAAGGGAAATCCATTGTCCCCGAATTGAGGTGTGCTCATTGCTTGTGAGGTCAGGAGCACCCATAGAGCCACGGGGACCTGCATTTGAAACCAATTATGTACATGGACACACAAATTATATGTGGCTACAAAATTGCATGAAATTGGTTTCATATGGATTCTCAATTCACCAGTCTTATTCCCATACTGAGATAATAAAGATCTCTTTTAAAGAGTTGTTTTTTTTTTTTAAACTGGAGGCATTTTTCCAAATGTATTACTGCAAGTCTATTTCTTGGAGAAGTGGATGTTTATTCAGTTTGGGCTGCTCTTAGCACCCCACCCCCACCCTGCAACTCCAGCCTTAGGAGGGCTGGGAGATGCTTGGGCGGGAGAGCGACTCCTGTTGTCTGGCACACTTTCTGCCTGGCCTCCCTCAGGTCAAATGGAGCACCTTCTGCCTCCAACTCCCGCTGACGGCTCTCCCAGAACCCCAGCCTGGAAGCGAAGTTGCTGGCTGCATAGACCCAGGAGTGCCACCCGGTTCCAAGCCTGGGCTGAAGATGTACCACCAACAGCCAGGCCATCTGAAGCTCCCACAAAAGAGCTTGTTTTGCACCACTAAGTACACAGAGAGAAATAAAGCCAGTAGAGCACCCCTGTGCTTACAAGGCTTGTCAAATGCATTACCAAACTAAGAGAAGGCCCCTCCACCTGCCCACTTGCTAGGATCTCAGACCCCAGGGTCCCCAAGCTGCAGGATCGTGGCTCCCCCACACCTCACTCCCAGCTTTAAGCCCTGTGCCAGGCCTGTGCCACCCTGTGGGCCTTATCATGATCCTACCTCCCATGGTACAGGAAGGCTCCTGCATCCTTGACAGGCATCCACGAGGTTCCCTTGTAGGGGCTGTGTTTAACCTGGAGCCTGCCTTACCCATGGCAGTGACTGGTGCTCGGGGAGTGAAGAGTGGCGTTTATTTTCAGAGGAGTCACCCTACTTGTTCAGATGCCTGTTTAGAAAAAGCATTACATTTGTGTCTTTCTCACCCACAAGGGCAGTTTCGTGGGTGATTACATGGAGCATGTAAAGTGCAGTTAGAGCACTCAGACTCGCTTATCCCCAAATCCCTCATCTAAACCAGTCCTCTCTCCAGTGGAAAAGAGTACCAATGGTTTACATATGCTCCAGCCCCCAAGTTGAGTATCTGTGGAAACCAAAACTGAAATAAAGGAGTGCCTCTGGAATGAACCTGTTTTGAAACCCCCGAAAGAATGGGCTACCCCTGGTGGGAAGACAGCCACAACATGGCTTGGCTTGCAAGCTCAGCAATCCTTGGGCTCTTGCTCTGTCTCACAGTGGCCTTTTATTTTTGCTGCTGATGCAGGTGTTGTTATTTCATGACCAAAATTATGGAATTCATTATGAATACACCATTCCTGTAAACTACACCACTGAAAACCAAAGCGAACCAGAAAAACCCCAGGATTCCTTGTTCATCTGGACCCACAGCGGCTGGGAAGGGTGCAGTGTGCAGTGTGGTGGAGGTGAGCAGCAGGGTTGGGGCTCACTGGGTGTGGGGTTTTACCAAACAGAGGAGAAGTGAATTCAGGGCACTCCGTGGCGAGTGCACATTGACTGGGAAAGGCTGACCATGTAAGTAACTTGTATTTCTGTGGAATGTACCTGCATCCTGCTGCAAATTTCTCTGGGCAGTGTCTGCTTCCAAACTCCTCCAGGCTGAAGTTGCATCCATGTGGCTGCTTTGCCAACAGCCTTTGATGCTGATCAGAGTGGAGGTTTGGCTAATGTGTAGCTATGTCACAAGTGTGACAGGTGACCCTGGGGGTGCACAGAACAGACTTTCACCTGATGCACTTGGTGAAAGGGCACCAGAAGATGTTTCTGACCTTCAAATACCCTTTCCTTTTTGCCACAGTCACCAGTAGAAATACATGGAAACCCATGGAATCAGCAGTAATATAATGGAAAGAAAAGTCCTCCAACTCCAGTGAAATACTCTGGGCCTGAGTTCTGGCTTCAGGACTTGCCTCCATTTATTAGCAGATGATGTACTCTCTCTGTACCTAAATTTCCTCACCTCCAAAAAAGGATGATCAGCCCTCATTGCCCACTGCAGGAGGAAACTCAAATACTATAAACATCAATATGAACAAAGAACATCATAGTCATTACTGTGTTGTTTAGGAGGAGTGAAGGGAAGCATTCTGAACTCTTAGCCAACAGCACCCTGACGAGACACAGAGCAGGGTCATTGGATGGATGCAAGTCGGGTAAATGTTGATGGACAGAGTTAGAACAGAAGGTTGACCTGGACCCTGGAATGCCAACCCAGAGGGTGGGCTGGCAGGTGAGACGTGGGCATGGCACTTGTCCTGCAGGGCTGGTGGCACCAAACTTCCTCCAAGCCAACTTGCTGCAAACTCAGCATGGCCCCAACGCAAGAGTTAGCAGGCTTCACTGGCTGGGGGTAAGGGGTGCTGTTCTGCTGTTCTCACTATCACAGCCTTTTATGGCACCAATGACTCCCAGCTCCCTGACCTGCATCCCAGTCATCTCGGTGCTTTCTATGCTCACTCATGTTCAGTGCTCTACCGTGACAAATTCCCCAGAAGACAAACTGAGGAGTGTAGGATCCACATAGTTGTGCTTGACTTTCTGTTAATCTTTTATTATAATATAGCTAACATAAAGTATTAACCCCTACCAGGTTCTGTTCTAAGCACTTTATATATCAATTCATTTTAACCATCTCTAAAGCAATACATGAACCGTGAACTTCCAGATGGTCAAGCTGGTTTTAAAAAAGCAGAGGAACTGGAGATCAAATTGCCAACGTCCACTGGATCATCAAAAAGGCAAGAGAGTTCCAGAAAAACATCTATTTCTGCTTTATTGACTATGCCAAAGCCTTTGATTGTGTGGATCACAATAAATTGTGGAAAATTCTGAAAGAGATGGGAATACCAAACCAACTGACCTGCCTNTCCAACCAGTCCATCCTAAAGGAGATCAGTCCTGGGTGTTCACCGGAAGGACTGATGCTGAAGCTGAAACTACAATACTTTGGCCACCTCGTGCGAAGAGTTGACTCATTGGAAAAGACCCTGGGAGGGTCTGGGAGGGATTGGGGGCAGGAGGAGAAGGGGACGACAGAGGATGAGATGGCTGGATGGCGTCACCGACTTGATGGACATGAGTTTGAGTAAACTCCAGGAGTTTGTGATGGACAGGGAGGCCTGGCATGCTGCGATTCATGGGGTTGCAAAGAGTTGGACATGACTGAGCAACTGAAATGAACTGAAAGCATCCTAAGGCACATGGAAGTTAAGTAAGCCAGCCCAGTGGAGTAAACCAAGGCACAGAAGCATAATTGATAGCTATCAATCCTGTGCTCACTCTGCTAGCTAATAAGCCAAGTTTGAACCCAGAGAGCCTGGCTCCAGAGTCTGCCCTTCTGGTTCCCAATCATTCATCCCCACTCCTAACAAAGTCATGGCCAAGCAGTGTGCAGGGTGCTTTGGAAACACCCAAAAGAATGAATGTGTAGTCAGCTGGGGTTCGTGAAGCTTCCCAGGAGCAGGTGATGCTCAGGCATGAACAGCAGTTGATAGGGAGAAAAAATTTCAGGTTGGCTTATGTCCTTCAGACAAGCCTTCCTGTTTCTCACTTCTCTCCAGAAAGCAGGAATTATGTAATAAGTAACTGTCATCTCTGGTGAGGGCTGTTGTACAGTTGTTTAATCAAGCCCAGATATCCATAGACTTCAAATGAACAGATATAGGGATTGGTAATCTTTGTTAGAAATTAGAGACCCAAGTCAGAACTTTGGCCCCAATGAACCCCAAGGTGTCCAAGAACACAGCTGATCTGAAGCATTGCTTCTCTGATCTCTTGCCCCTGCTACCCCTGCCCTGTCTCACACACCCTCATCCCTAAGATTACGATCCTCCCTCTCTGACAACCAACAGGCATTATAAGAGTCAATTTAAGTGACAGACTGATCACAAGATGCACCTGAATATTCCTCCACAAGGTGAATAAATGGCCTTTCCAGGTATGTGTTCTATGGCCTCTCAATTCTGTGTATTTTGGTTTCCAGGGGAACGCAGAAGCATTGTGTCCTGCACACGGATTGTTAACAAGACCACAACTCTAGTGAACGACAGTGACTGCCCTCAAGCCAGCCGCCCGGAGCCCCAGGTTCGAAGGTGCAACTTGCACCCATGCCAGTCACGGTAAGGAGCTATATTCTCAAGCTTGGATCCTCAGGGTCAGAGCGGCAGCACCCATGAATGGGGTATGGTGATGCACAATTAATACCAGTCTTGCTCTGTTTTCTGTTGTTGTTGCTGAGTGATTTTTGATTGTTCAAAATACTCAATTTCTGGCTACTAAGCCATAACTTTGATAGCAGTATATAGTCCTCACTGGAAGGCATCTCATAGGGGACCATTAAGAGCATCTCATGAAAAAAGAAATAGCTGTCTCCACACACTTTCACCTGGCACATGTCACCTCCTCCAAGTTACTCTATCTTGGAGGAAAAGGAGCTCAGAGTGTGAGCACCTGTGAGTATGCATTAGTGATTCTGATTGGTTAGTGTTAGTGATTGGTGTGATTTAGTGGCTGAAATTAACATCAGTAAGTTATTTATTGTTTGGGATCCATCAGAACTTCTGTTTCCAACCCTAGCTTTCATGGCCGTGTACTCCAAAGTATGTTCTCTTGGGTTGTTAACTGAGATGAATTGTGTGGAATGTGTTCATCAGTAAAGCCTCCTTATTTCCATCTTAGTGGGACTTTGTATATGATTCTGTTGTATTATGTAATATCACGCCTGGCCTCCTGTTCTGCCCAGCATTGAGGTATGTGGCTTTTGTTTTGTGGTTCTGTGCATCAGGTTAAGGCATGTATAGCTTTTGTAAAGAGGCTGGACTTTTTTTTTAAATTAATTTATTTTTTATTAAAGGATAATTTCTTTAAGGCATATACCCTGAGGAAACCAAAATTGAAAGAAGCTGGGCTTTTAACCTGGCAGTTTTGGGGGTTTCTTAAACTCAATTTGTACCGCTCACCTGGTGAAAAGTGTCACAAAGCATTTGGTTTTATTTCTCACCCTCTTTTCTTTGTCAAACTGATAAAATGCATGTGAATGAGAGAGGGAAGCCAGAAGGGAAAGCACGGTGAGATGTGATTTTATGTGATCCTTGGAAAATTAAGACTGAAATTTTCTACCCTAATGGTGAAGGCCATGAGAAACAGCTCACTTCTAGAAGTCTTGAGCATTTGGTTGTCCTGCAAACCTATCAGTAGATTGATCGATTTATCAGTCAATCAGTCACACACATGTGGGGCTGAAGAAAAGAACTTGCCACTGTAAAGACTTAGGTATCAGAGAGGCCACAGCTTCTTTTCCTGAAAGTAGACACAGCTGACTCTTGTGATATGATTAGAAAGGAGAGTAAGTGACTCTAGAAGAGACGTCAGCATAGGTTCAAGGGCATAACTGAGCAAGAACGATCCTAGGGACCCACTCAAGAATCATATTCTATAGTCATTTATGTTTTCATACTATTTTAGTATCAAAATCTTTTTAAATTATGCACAGAAATGAAATATATGAAACATGAAATCAGAGTTGGTCTGATTGACTTGAGATGCATATATAATCGGGAAGAGTGGTTCAGTGCGCTTAGCCTTCCCCTTGTCTCAGTTGGCCCACAGCACTTCTATGAAGTACCAAGGGGTAAAGTTTAAAAACTATCAGTCAAGGATTCTGTTTCCCATAATGATGGAAGAGCTCATACTGGACAAACCCTCATATTCTCCTAGAATGATATTTAGAGCTATGTGATCGGTGCTTCCCTGGTGGCTCAGCAGTAAAGAACCTGCCTGCAAGGAAAGTTTGATCCCTGGGTCAGGAAGATCCCCTGGAGGAGGAAATGGCCACCCACTCCAGTATTCCTACCAGGAAAATCCCATGGACAGAAGAGACTGGTGGGCTACAGTCCATAGGGTCACAAAGAGTCAGATACTACTGAGCATGCATGCATGCTGATTGATCGACATGGTAGCCACTAGCTAGTCCAAATCAAGATGTGTTATAAATATAAAATACATACCAGACTTCAAAGAATTAGTCTGGAAAGAGATTATAAAATATCTTATTAATTTTTAATATTTATTACATGTTGAAATAATTATATTTTGAATGTGTGTGTATGCAATTGCTCAGTCGTATCCAACTCTTTGCAACCCCATGGACTGTAGCCCACCAGGCTTTTCTGTCCATGGGATTTTCCAGGCAAGAATACTAGAGTGGGTTGCCATGCCCTCGGCCATGCCCTCGGCTCCAGGTCTTAAAGACCAAACCCACATCTCCTATGTCTCCTGCATTTGGGGAAGATTCTTTACTCACTGAACCATCAATGAAGCCTGTTGTATTTTGAAGACATTGGATCAAAATGCAATATATTAAAGTCACATATTTCTTTACTTCTTTAATGTAGATAATAGAAAATTAAAATTGCTTATGTGGCTCATGTTTGTGTGTGTGTGTGTGTGTATTGGACAGCACTTCTGTAATAAACATAACATGTTCAAGATATAATCCAAAATTACTAGGCTTACAAAGAAACAGAAAAATGTGATGCATGCTCATCAGAGAAGGCAATTAATAGAAATTAACTCCAAGATGACATATATGTTGGGATTAGCAGACAAGCATTCCAAAGCAGCTATTGTGCTTTTTACATATGCATGTAACATTGAGCTTGTGTATGTGGCTCCAGAAAACCCACAGAGCTTAGGCCTGCAGTCTTGCTGTGTTTGAACACTATTCAAGTCAAACACACTTTAGATTAAAAGTAACCTCAGACCCTGTTGCTGGGAACGATTGAAGGCAAACAGAGAAGGATAGAGTGGAGGATGAGATGGTTAGGTAGCATCACCGACTCAGTTCAGTTCAGCCTCTCAGTCGTGTCCAGTCCATGTCCAGTTGTAACTGTTGCTTCCTGACCTGAATACAGGTTTCTCAAGAGGGGGGTCAGGTGGTCTGGTATTTCCATCTCTTTCAGAATTTTCCATGGTTTATTATGATCCACACAATCAAAGGCTTTGGCATAGTCAATAAAGCAGAAGTAGATGTTTTTCTGGAACTCTCTTGCTTTTTTGATGATCCAATGGATGTTGGCAATTTGATCTCCGGTTCCTCTGCCTTTTCTAAAACCAGCTTGAACATTGACTCATGGACATGAATTTGAGCAAACTCCAAGAGCAAACCCCACTATGGAGGACAGAGGAGCCTGGTGTGTACAGTCCATGGGTTCACAAGGAGTTAGACACAATGACTGAACAACAGCAACTTCAGAAAGAAAGAAAAGAAAGTGAAGTCGCTTAGTCGTGTCTGACTCTTTGCGACCCCATGAACTGTAGCCTACCAGGCTCCTCCATCCATGGGATTTTCCAGGCAAGAATACTGGAGTAGGTTGCCATTTCCTTCTCTAATCTCAGTGTCTCTTTAGAACAGGGTCAGAAAACTTTTTCTGTGAAAGGCTAGAGAGTAAATATTTTTATTTTGTAGGCCATATTTGATTTCTGCTGTCTGTTTCTTGTTTTGTTTTATAACCCTTTTAAATGTAAGAACCATTGTTAGCTCCTGGGCTGTACAATCTGCAGGCCAGACTTGGCCCATGAATGATAGCTTGCCTTAAGTTATTGCCTACCCTTGTTTTGCCCACTGAGATAATGGGATCACAGCTTCAGCATGAGCCCAAGCTCTGAAGGCACCACCTCAGGGAATGTATTCTCTTATCATACAAGAGAGGGCATTTTGTTATACTGAGTTACTTTGCATTGCCCAGTTATTCAGTATGTGTGTTCAGTAGCTTCAGTCAGTGTCCGACTCTTTTGCAATCCTATGGCCTTGCAGCCCACCAGGCTCTTCTGTCCATGGGATTTTCCCAGGCAAGAACATTGGAGTGAGTTGCCATTTCCTTCTTAGGGGATCTTCCCAACCCAGGGATCAAACCCACATCTCCTGTGTTTCCTGCATTTGTTCTTTTACCACTGAGCCACCAGGGAAGCCAGTACTGTCTTTATAACCATCCAGCATGACCCTCAGCACACAATACAGAGTCATTGATTTCATTTATTCAATGTATGTTTATTGAATAAATTCACTTGACTTTGCTCTTGGTACCAATGTATATAGAGGTGAAAGACAGGCAAAGTCTTTACTCTCAGCCAAACAACAACAACAAACTTGATAAAACATTAGGTTTCTCCTTCCTACCACTCTTGTTTTGGTCCCACCCCCTTTCATTCCCTTTCCAACTCTGTGAAGTCATATGCATCAGACTGGAAGAATGAATGGAATTTCCAAAAACATAGTAGGAAATAAAATTGATAAAAGAGAAGACAGCACCTGGAATTTGCCTCAGAGCCTAGAAAAGAAATTCCCGGATGCCTATCCTAGCCTGCTTGTATTTGTTGGTTTGCTTATTTGCTTATTTTGAACCATCTGATGTCATACTTATTCTTAAAGTGGACACTTGAAAGTGAGGTATCATGACTCATCACAGAGTATTTATTGTTTGGCTAAAGAAATGTGTGATCTGATAGATTTTAAAACTCTTGCAAATGCTACTTTTATTTATTTATATACATACTCACACACATGCACAATATACATATATATGTGCATATGTATTATGTATAGATATTTTATATATATAAACACACAAACATTTAGATGGTAGAACTTGAATTATTGCATGGCATGATCTAGCTGTCATGAATCTTTCTTAAAAGTCTAGAGTAATATGCATTTAGGCTAGTAAGTAAAGAGAAGTGAAGATCTTAGAAAATGAGTGCCAGACAGAGAGAGATATAATCGTAAATGAAAACTGAACTTAGGTCAGGGGGTGGGGTTTGGAGAAGTGTGCGGTCTGGAAAAAACAGGTGCTTCAGGGGGTTGGGGGTGAGCACAATTGGAAGTCAGAGCCTGTCGGTTGGAAGAAGAATCCAGAACCCAATGGTGTAAACGTTATTTTAAAAGCCAAAATGTAGTGTGCTGTTGAATCTGGCAAGATGAAAGAGTCTTTCTGTATTATTGTTACTCTTTGACCTTTAAAACAACAGAGATGGTTGTCTTTTTCCCTTGTTTTTCTTTATCTCCCCTGATCCCCCTTTTATTTTCTTCAACCTTTTTTTTCCACCGAGTTCCCGACAGTTTCCTTTACCTTCCCAACTCACACCATTAACACCTCTTTATTCTAATCCTGCCCCTCTCTCTGTGGATGCTTCTCCCAAACCCTGCCATAACCATGTGGAGTCTGGAATCTGACAGGGAGGGCAGACAGCCTCTCTCCAGTATCTTGCACAGCAGCACAAACACATCAGCAAGCCTGGACCTGACATTGGCAGGAGAGGCAGAAATCACAGATCAGCTCAGCTGTTGTGACTGTGGCCAGCAGCCTTCACCTTGCCGACCGCAGTCTGCAGGGAAGAGGCCCCGCCGTCATCTGGCATTCAGCAAGCAGCCCAAGTGGCCCTGTGTGCCAACTCCTTAAGACCCAGTTCCAGGTAGTCCTGGAGCAAGGAGGGGGGCTATGACAGGGATGTGCTCAGTCTGGAACACATAGCTCATGTGTGAGTGGATTTAATATTTTTGCAGTCTTTTAGAGCTTATTGGCTACTTGAAAAGGCCATTCTGAGCTATTGGATATTTCCCTATAGTATTTATGATTTGAATTTCTTCCCAGGCAGCACATACTGTACTGTACATTGAATTAGGGTGATTCAAGAAAGAATATTCAATATCTTACTGGCAACAGATTTGAACTAAATAGTCATCTGCAAGGAAATGTATTTGGATTTTAAATTTGTCCTCTTTGCTCAATTATTTTATCCAGTTTCCCTCATTTTAGGTTAAAACTGAATGTAATTCCTCATGTTTTTATGAAAGCGTGGTCTGTGTGTGTATGTGATCCTAATTTAAGAATGAAGCCTGTAACATGTGGCCTTAAGGTGCTGCCAATATCTGAAAAGATACCGTTGTTTAATCCATTTCTAGCTAGTCTAAAACTTAAAGCTTTTTTTTTTTTTTTTTTTGCTTTCCTCTAAAATAAAATAGGTAAGTCTAGTCGTCTTTCCTCTGTTCACTGTGCCTTGAATGTAGGAGACTGGAGGAGGCCACCTATGGCACTCCGTGTGCCCGAACAGGAGCCCGCAACTCGGGAGAGCTCTCAGTCGGGGAGGGCAGGGCCTGCAGGCGGCAGTGAAAACCTCAGAATCGCTGGAGTGCTGCTCCTGACTTTCAGGCCCAGCCACTCTCCAGACACTTGAACACGTGGTTGGAGGCTCGGAATGAGGGGTGCCCCACATTCCTGTGAAATAAAGGAAAAGTGCCTGATGGGGAAAATGGAGAATAGCATCAGTGATCTATCATATGCCTATCCGGTAGTATGCGAATGGTGAGGAAAAGTTTAGTTGAAAGAATTCCAAAATGTCTTTCTGTCACTACCCAAATTCTAGAACCTCACTTGTATTTAAATAGTATTGTTTTAAAGCCTTTACTTATTTGTCTAAAGTAGGAAACACTGGAGAAAGAAAGGATTCCAGAATTTTGTCTTAAATTTAAAGCTTCTGTTTTCTTCTTTCCTCCATACTTAAACCCTTTGACCATTTGAACATCCCTCCCTTTGATCATTACAGAGGACAAGAGGCTTCCCAGATACCAGTTTCACAGGTAACTGAATTCTGTTGACTAACACTTTCCATGTGGTCCCGGGGCCTGTGAGGAGGGCCTTCCCTTTCCTCAGTTATTATGTCCTCGATATCTGCGTCTGATTTTTATGTCACAATTACAGGAAAAAAATACAATTAGAATTCAATGACAGAAAGAAATTTTGGAAAGTCATAAATGCATGGAAATTATACAAAACACTTTCTAAATAACCAGTGAGTGAAAGGGAAATCATAGAAAATTTAGAAAATACTTTCAGATGAATGTAAAGGAAATCACACCTTCCCAAAATTTAGGGAATGCAACTAAAGCAAACTTTAGGAAGAAATGTGTAGCAGTAAACACTGTATTTAAAAAGAAGAGGAATTCCAGACCGTCCAGTGGTTAGGACCCCATGCTTCCACTGCAGGGAACACAGGTTTGATCCCTGGTCAGGGATCTAAAATCCCTCAAGTCTCAAGGCAGGCCTTGCAGAAATAAGACAGATCTGTAAAGGAATGCCAGGAACAATTGTATGCCAGTAAGCTGTACATCAATAAATTAGATAATGAACATGAAATGGACAAACTGCTAGAAAAATGCAAGCTACCCAAACTGAATAAAGAATAGAAAGAATAGACCTATAACAAACAAAGAGATTAAATTACTAATCAAAACACTTTCTACAAAGAAAAGTCCAGGATTGGGAGTCTTCACTTATGAATTCTACCAAATATTTAAAGCAAAGTTAACACCAACCCTTCACAAGCTCTTCCCAAAAGATGAAACAGTAGGGAACACATTCCAGTGCATTCTGTGAGGGTAGTAAAACCCTGATTCTGAAGCCACACAAGGACATCACAAGGAAAAAGAATACTGCAAACCAATATTGCCCATGAATATTGATGCAAAAAGAAAAAAATACAAGCAAACTGAATCCAGCAACATATTAAAAGGATTGTATACACCATGACCAATAGGACTAATCCCCAGAATACAAGGTTGGTATGTCATCTGAAAATCAGTTAATGTAATACACTTTATTAATAAAATGTTTTTTAAACAAAATAATCATTTCTGTAGATGCAAAAACAGACTTTGACAAAATATGTGACCATTTCATGATTTAAAAAAAAACAAAAAAAAAACACTGAACAAACTAGGATCGAAAGAGAACTTCCTAAGCCTGGTATCTACAAAATATTTTGTATCTACAAATACATACAGATATCTACAAAATGCTCTATATCTACAAAACCCCACAGCTAACATCATACTTTATGATGAAAGACTGACTGCTTTACCCCTAAGATCAAGAATAAGGTGCAAATGGAATGTTACTCAGCCACAAAAAAGAACGAAAATGGGTCATTTGTAGTGATATAGATGAACCTAGAGTCTGTCATACAATGTGAAGTCAGATAGAGAAAAACAAATATTGTATGTTAATGCATATATGTGGAATCTGGGGAAATGGTACTGATGAACCTATCTGCCAGGTAGGAATAGAGATGCAGACATAGAACAGACATGTGGACACAGCAGAGGAAGGGGAGGATGGGGCTAGCTGAGAGAGTAGCATTGACATATATTCACTACCATGTGTAACACAGATAGCTAACGGGGAGCTGTTGGATAGCACAGGGAGCTCAGCTCTGTGTTCTGTGCTGACCTAGAGGGGTGAGATGGGGTGGGTGGAGGAAAGCTCAAGAAGGGGGGAATATATGTATACATATAGTTGATTCACTTTGTTGTACAGTGGAAACTAACACAGCACTGTAAAGCGTTTATGTTGTTGTTGAGTTGTTAGGTGTTAGTCATGCAGTCATGTCTGACTCTTTGCGATCCCATGGACTGTAGCCTGCCAGGCTCCTCTGTCCATGGAATTTTCCAGGCAGGTATACCAGAGTGGATTGCCATTTCCCACTCCAGGAGATCTTCCTGACCCAGGGATTGAACCCAAGTCTTCTGCATTGCAGGCAGACTCTTTACTGACTGAGCCACTGGGAAGTTGGGTTGTTAAGTCATGTCCAGCGTTTCTGTGACCCTGTGAACTGTAATCCACCAGGTTCCTCTATACATGATTCTTCAGGCAAGAATACTGGAGTGGGTTGCCATTTCCTTCTCCAGGCAATTTTCCTGACCCAGGGATCAGACTTTCATCTCCTGCATTGGCAGGTAGATTCTTTACCACTGAGGCACCAATGGGAAGCCCACTGCAATTATGCTCCATTTTCTTTTAAAAGGATATTGATGATATGTAGCTAAGAATTAAAAAAAAAAAAAAGAATAAGGTAGAATGTCTGTTCTTGCCACCACAGGGCCCATGGAAAGTTTAGAGGGAGGCATTTCTCTGTGGTTGTCCAGAAAGAGAAGTGCTGGTTACATAGAGACACATGGGACTTATGACTATACAGTTCCTCTCTGACACACTTTTGATGTGCCACTGTGCTCTGTAAATCACTATGAGAATTGGGCTGTTTCCCCAGGAGAACTTTGATCTTGAAAACCACCCTTCCTAGAGCTTCTAGAGGCAGGTGCTCCAACAGGAGGCTCAGGGTACCCCTACCCAACCAGGTAAACTGCTCAGGGTGCCCTGTGCCTGCACCTGAAAAGTACACTCCATTGACCTCTTCCTCCCATTGAAGATGACCAAGTGGGGTGGGACTCCCTAGTTCACTCAGGACATGGCTGCAAAAGGAACTCCTGTGCCACCAGCCCCCCAAAATGAATGAGGCCACCAACTTCTAAATCTCACTGGACATTGTCTTTGGAAAAGCAAAATGTTGGACTAGAAAACATCAAGGTTTTTGATCTCAGGCACCAGGAACTGAGTTTAAAACTATACCAAAAAGACAAGCATATATAAATAGGGCGTGGAATATCTCCCAAAATTGAAGCAATGGTCAAAAGCATTTTGGAGAGGGGATCTCAGAGGCAACTGCGGTGGAGCTGCTCCACTGAGAGTCCAGCTTCCTGGAGAAGATCCAATGGGCCTGGCTTGGCTCACATGCCCTCCAGTGGCATGATGCAGACACCCAAAGGAAAACTGAGGTGTTCTTATCAGAAAAAGAAAGGCAACACTGGGCAGGCAAAAGCAGCAGACGTGTCCTCCACCCCAAACACATAGAGACATGCTGACATCATGATCAAACCAAGACTAGCCAAGACCATCCAGTGGATGCTGTCCAGCTAGGACGAGTGCCGGCAAGTCTATTAGCAGGAGGGCTACTGTACTGGAAAATTCCTGTGTCCTGGTGAGAAAGGCAGCCTGTCGGGAATGTTACTCTTGGATATGAACTTTCAGCATCAGCAGCCATGTGATTCTCAAAGCATGAGAGTTTTTTTCCAAACTCTGAGTCCCTGGGTGTGGTACAACCTGTTACCAAACCCAAGCTTCTCCTGGTTATTTTAACCCCCAAATCGTACCAACACAAACGCCAGTAATGGAGTGTAACCTGATCAGGTGTGATGGCTGAGAAGAAATGCTGCCAGGCTGTGATCTCATCAGCTGCTGGTTAAGCCCTATTCACTGTCCTTTTGCTTTTCTACTGCAAATTCAGTTTGTTCCTATAAACCCCAGAGAAATGTTTTTTTCTCTCAAAAGAATATTTGAAAACGAATTTATTGTAGAAACAGAGAATCTTAAAACAGGACCTGTGTTCTTCTTGCTAAGATGTAAATTATGGAGGTGGCAGAAATCCAGGGTAGGGTGGGAGTGAGCCAGTCTGTCCCTGCCTGTCCATAGCAAGGAGAGATGGTGGGGAGTGGCTGGGAAGTTGGGGTTGTCACCCCATCTTAGAGATGAAGATTTCAAGACACTTGATTGTGCAGTAACTTACTCAGGGTCATACCCATAGCAGGTAGAACTCAAACAAGGTTTTCCTACTTTAAATCTTTCATACTTTCTGCTATGTCATTTTCATTTTAAAAGTAGCACAACTTGCTTCTGCCGTGGCATGACAAAAGAACCCTTTTTGACCAGGGCACCTATAAGTTGATATTTTAAAGTGGAACGGGAGAGGTCAGCAAATGGCACTGTAGTGACCTCGGGTCAGAGGGGGTTTGTAGGGGAGCCATGGTGGTTCCCTTGTCTGGAAGTGAAACTCATGATTTTATTTTTTTTTAATCTTTTTTAAAGAAGTAGTTTACTTATTTTAATTGGAAGATAAATTACTTTACAGTATTGTGATGGTTTTTGCCATACATCAACATGAATCAACCACGGGTATACATGTGTCCCCCCCATCCTGAACCTACACCACCTCCCTCCCCATCCTGTCCCTTTTGGTTGTCCCAGATCACTGACTTTGGGTACCCTGCTTCATGCATCAGACTTGCACTGACCATCTATTTTACGTGTGGTAATGTACATAAAAGAAAGAAAGTGAAGTCGCTCAGTCATGTCCAACTCTTTGCGACCCCATGGACTGTAGCCTACCAGGCTCCTCTGTCAATGGGATTTTCCAGGCAGGAATACTGGAGTGGGTTGCCATTTCCTTCTCCAGGAGATGTTCCTGACCCAGGGATTGAACCCAGGTCTTCCACATTGTAGGCAGATGCTTTACTGTCTGAGCCACCAGGGAAGTCCGGTAATGTACATATTTCAAAGTTTTCTTCTCAAATCATCCTGCCCTGCCTTCTCCCACTTAGTCCAAAAGCCTGTTCTTTACATCTGTGTCTCGTTTGCTGCCCTGCATGAAGGATCATCGTTACTGTCTTTCTAAATTCCATGTATATGTGTTAATATACACTATTTGTCTTTTTCTTTCTGACTTACTTCACTCTGTATAATAGGCTCCAGTTTCATCCACCTCATTAGAACTGACTCAAATGCATTTACTTTTATAGCTGAGTAGTATTCCATTCCAGTTGAACTATTTCAAATCGTAAAAGGTGATGCTGTTAAAGTGCTGCACTCAGTATGCCAGAAAATTTGGAAGACTCAGCAGTGGCCACAGGACTGGAAAAAGTCAGTTTTCATTTCAGTCCCAAAGAAAGGCAATGCCAAAGAATGTTCAAAC